CAGTTAGCCGCGAGATTTTGCAAATCTTCCTTACGAGTTCTTCCTAAGTAAGACATTGTTTTCTATGTTTTAAAATTAACGAACACTGTTTTCTTTATATTTCCTCAAAATAGCTCAATTCAATTACTTTAATTAATTAATGCAGTCAGGAATCACGAAATTAAATGCACTTTGTTAAGTACGTATACCTCAAAAATGAAATATTTAAATTATATGAAGTTCATTCTCTCTACCACATTAATTGTGATTAAAATAAGAATAATAACATAGAGCAATATATATATATGTCTACCGTCTGCACAACTAAAATGAATATTAAATATAATATCAAATACGGTAATAAAATAAGACACATTTAATATTAACAGGAAATAATAATCTGGTATCGCTAATATTGCGTTCAGTGATGAACTAATAAATAAAGCAATTCTATATGAACAGGAAGTAATAATCTGGTATCACTAATATTATGTTCAGTGATGAACTAATAAAATAAAAATACGCACGATTATTCGATCTTGGTCGGTGCCTCCAAAATAATTATGACTGTGATACTTCTTTGACGAAATGAAGCAATTCCAATGATGGAACACAGCAATAACTTTTATTTAAACACTCAAAAAAATGGCGACGATATACAAACAAGAAGAGAAAACATATTCTAACATTTAAAATAATTTACATTCTTCGTGCGAGAGTCGCACGTGGCACTCGAGTCTGGTTTCGAATATTGCCATTCACAAATAACTTAATGTTCATCTATTTAAATTATTTAAACTACAAGATTTTAATACTATTTAAAGCTGTTACACCTTGTTAGTAATTAAAAGAAAGAAAAGTAAATTCACGTGGACAGCAGAAGCAAATACCGCATTCGGAAGGTTAAAAGAAGCGCTTATCAATGCCCCTGTTTTGAAATTCCCGGAGGGGGACGAAAACCTGGAAATTGCAGCAGATGCGTCGGACTATGCTGTGGGTGCGGTTCTTATGCAAAATGACCATCCTTTGGCATTTTTTAGTAAAACGTTGAATCATACACAAAGGAATTATACAGCTACAGAGAGAGAAACATTAGCCGTATTAATGGCTGTACACAAATTTCGAGTTTATTTCGGCAAAGCGCCAGTAACAGTCTTTTCGGATCATGCGGCGGTTGGTAGACTTTACTCGGGGAAAAACCTAACGCCCAGGTTAATAAGATGGGTTTTAAAACTCCAAGAATATAATCTCATAATCAAATATAAACCGGGTAAGGAAAACAATGTAGCTGACGCACTTTCTCGTATAAAAACTGGACGATGAAGGCAATGAACTTAAATGCGCTGTGTTGACTTCAAAAATTTTAGATTCTAGAGATACAATTATTGCTGAATTGAAAGCTGATCCTGAATTTGGAAGTATCTATGCATATTTGAAAGACCCCGAAAGCTTTGAGCCACAGATATCGATGCGATAAGAAATAGAGCAGAAAACTATGAAATAATAGATAATTTATTATTTATACGAAAAACAACAAACGAAAATCTCGAGTACAAACCAGTCATCCCAGCCTCGCTTCGATTAAGCATTTTAAGGAATTACACGACGCGAAAACAGCGGGTCATTGAGGGGTCAGAAAGACTTTAAAAAGGGTACGCGAGGCGGTATATTTCCCGCAATTATACAAAATAGTAACTGCGTATGTCAGGTCCTGCAATCAATGTCAGTTAATAAATGATATTAATTACAGTTACAGCCGGCCGGGTACTTAAATAGCATTCGCGCTACATTTCGAATGGAATTTTAGGCATAGATCTTCTTGGTCCTTTCCCCCAGAGTGAGTTAAAGAAAAATCGTTTTCATTTAGTAATTGTAGATCATTTTTCAAAATGGACAGAAATTGTTCCACTTAAACGCGCGTCAGCCAAACAGTCCCCCAGATGCATTCTACACAGATACATTTTTAAAATACGGAGCACCGATAAAAAGTCATTAGCGATAACGGTAAACAATTCGTTAGTCAAATATTTGAAAACATATGCACTGGACTTGGCATACGCCATATCAAAATGGTTCCGTATAGACCACAGGCAAACATAGTAGAAAGAGTTAATAAAAACATTGTAAAAATAATTCGAAATAGACAAAAGTTATATTATGATAGAAAACGCCGTGAAGCAGATTTTAAAGTTGGGGATAAAGTGTTGAAGCGGAAATTTTCTTTATCAAGTGCCCCAGACAATTTTACTGCAAAGTTAGCTCCAAAATTTGAAGGCCCCTATGTAATTCAGGAAATCAAGGGAGTCGTAGGGAAATCTGTAAAGCAAGTTCCCGACCAGGTGAAAAAATATATATAATCAAAATGATTTTGAAATCCTTAAAAGTTTCTTGCAGGACTCAAGCGTAAAAGAAATAGAAGGTTCCAGAAGTAACGTCACCCGTTCCACCACCCACCAAAAGCAGAGAACTGAAGAGAAGCCTAGCCCTCTACAACCACCATGCGACGGGTACCGAAAAAGAAGAAAATGAAAAACTTTCAGACTCCCAGCATTTAAGAAATACAAGAAAGCAAAGCCGCCGCGTAAAAGAAACCTTGGTAAAGAGGAAAACACTACTTACAACGTATCGCAGTAGAATTCTACATCGAGAAGAACGCTTCCAGGGCCAGAGAGTCAGGTGCAAACAAGGCAGGGACCCGTTCCCGAGAACGAAAAGACAGCAGGAGGAAAGAAAAGACAACCACCAACGGAAGAAATTCAAGCAGGATTCAAGACCGGAGGAGGCTAAGACCAGCCGTCCAGGGGAAAAACGGAAAAGACAGCAACCCGACGACTACCACTCCAAGAGGCCAGCATGCAGAGGGCGAAAAAGAAATATCAACATGGACGACACTCGGAGGACACTAAGGAGAAGACTGACGTCGATGAAACCTATAACGTGGGAGCATTTCTGCCAGAAGAGAATGTCGGAGTTCCAATCATCGAAAACTCAAAGATAAGTTAAAATCTTCTATAAAATTTTTTTTTCTTTTGTTCCGAAATGTTATGCGTAAATACGAAGTTCTATGTTTTGACGGAAGTCAATTTGTCTCGGTTGAGACATAGTTTTGTTTTACTTTACTTAGCTAAGGCAAAAGTATTATTTTCTTTAAGTATAAAAAAATCTAAGAACAAGCAGTTTTCTGTTGGTCGAAAGAACCAACCAAAATTTGGCCAAAGATAAAAATAACTTCGTATTTTTGTATTAATAAGAACTTTTAGTTTCAGTGCCGCCAGCTTGGCGAAGAATGAGTAAAGTAAAATATTATTTTTCTCTATTCATTTTATGGTAAAATTGTAAAAATCATATGTATTAGAATTTTGTAAATATACGTAAATACTTGAAAGTTATGTAAAAGTAGAATTTAGTCTAGAAGCATAAAATTTTAGATGCTAAAAGTAAATGCTCAAAAGCAATGAATTCAAATTTAAGTATTAAACTGTAGATAAATCATGCTTTTGAGCGAAAGCCTGCATGTCTAAAGATGAATGAGGGGGAAGTTAGAATGAATGTTGTTTTGTAGGGTTCTCCACCTACACTTGAATTTTAAGAATGTTAAAGTAGCTCATCGAGTTGTAGAATGTCGAGTAAGGTGTGTCTATTTGGTCGTTGAATTCTAACAAATCATTGTGGTTAGGGGAAGTGTTGTAATACTAAAACACGAATATTCCCGTTTGACACCACAACATGGTGGAGAGCCAGGGTAAAGTTAAATTCATGTTTGAATACTTGAATGAATGTGAATTAAGCAGTAACTAAGGAAAATAATCGTTCAAAAACAAAAACGTATTCAGTGTCAAGAAAGTGTAAATTATAATGTATTTAGAAAGATACTGATACTTTATTCCTTCCAGATGCTGGAAGGAAGAGAAACAGATTGATTGCTGAAGTCCAGGAAAGGTTGCTGTAAGAAGAGAGAATTAAATAAGTATCTACAGAAATTTATTCTACCTTTTGTGAGATAGCAGATTTTTTTTTATGTAAACGAGGCTCTTAAAATTTAGTTCAGAATTGTGGAAACTTTTCAACAGGTCGTTTCTAGGACCTGCTTCCAAGTTTACCAAATTCTGGCAGCGGCAAATGTAGGGTTTATTATTTATTTTAACTAACATTTATTTCAAGTTTAAACTATCTGTCCTGTCAAGCCTTACTTTCCCCTGGAATTGCCAATGCCAGAGTATGTAAATTTTAGTAGAACGCGCAAGGATTCAAATTGTCAGCGGAAGTAAGCTGAGTTAAATAGAAGGGAAACGAGTTCGAAAGTGTGCTTTTCTTGCTTCACGAGCGTGGAGGTGGCTAGTCAGAAATTGAAGAATCACGCGTTTCGGCCTGTGTGCTTGCCTCGGCAGTTTGTTAATCTTTCAACGTAAATATTCAGAAGTTTGCTGAATTATCAGCGGTATTTTAGAACGCGGTGAGGTTAGTTACGTTTAGAGAGCCTCGTAGTTAGTCACTTGTTATTATCTCTTTTCAGTTTCTTATTTTTATTTTACCGCCGGGTCGGCGTAGTTTGTGAGCGTCGAGAGCATGCATTTGTAATTTTCGAAAGTTGAATAAAAAGGGACTTAAACCCTTCTCAAGACTTTGTCTACTTTCCAGTTCTCAGCAGTCACCACTATTGTTGCGTGCAGGTTGGAAGCGCGCAACATTACAATTAATAAAAGAAATAATTAAAAAAATAGCCTAATATATTAATTATAAAATCTTTCTCTGCGTAGTTTGATATAGACATTTAAATAATAAAAACTAGAATAAAATAAAATCATGCAAAATGCAATGATAAGAATTGCGTGTATTTGAGTTAAAATTCAGTAATATATTTGGTATATTATATCACATGCAGCGACTTATCCTTAACAAAAAAATATGACTTAACATAAAAGCAAATAATATTTATATAGCCGTAACTGTTTTGGGTAATTTCTAAATATCATAAAAAGCTGTTCTTTCTTTTAAACTAGCCGTTAAATTAAAAAACTTACCTCATAACGGATGATTTGCAGCTTTCTTCTTTATCCATTTTTAAAACTGTAGCAACACAAGTATGTATAACTGATCCTCTGTTATATTTATTAAAGGCATGTTTAAGAATTATTTCAGTTTCAATTTTCTTGAAGGAGAATTTATTTACAAAATTTATTATTACATATAAAAAATCTATTTTCAACTTGAAAATTTTGTTCAGTAAAAACTATACGCAATTCTTTCATTACCACTATTTTAAATATATTCTTAATCTCACAATAAGAGCAAATTAATTTATCTAAAACTTACAGATTCTTCCTCTTGAGTGTAACGCTATCCGCAATAGTGTTCAGAGCTTTATAAGATAAAGCCACTCAAAGATATTTCGCAATGGTTTAGAAGAAAGGCGTTCAACTTCTTTTAATCAATTCAATCCTCAACTGAAAACAATTTCTCGAATTCTCTAAGATCAATAGCTGCTATCAATAGTTAGCCACTTAGAGCCCGTGGTGGCTGTAACAATCACTAAAGCGTTCAGATTTAAAAAAAATAAGTCGGCTAATCTGAGAATAACCGCTTAATCTTTCGTTGTAATAGATATAAGCTCTATTATATTTTCAAGACGCATATCTTTAAGATAAATATATATCTTACTATAACACACAAGTTTTAAAGATACCACGTAGCAGTTTTTGCCAACATACCGAATTTTCTGGAAAATAAAATTGGGGCAGCAGAGGTTAACTAAAATATATGCATTGATTGAAAATACTGTAGAATGTTAATTATCCGGATTGCTTGCTTTTCCTATCAAGCAAAATTAACTTACTTACACGTTTTTAATCATTTTTGGGCAAAGACAATATGAAAAATAGTACTTTGTACAACAGAGTACCTATTTTTTTAAAAAAGAGCTTTTCTTTAAAATTCTTTTGTTGAATTGTTAATACATGTAAGTTGATCTGCAATAGCCAGCAAACTTTAACTTTAAAATTTAAAAGCAGTTATGGGCAACATAAAGGTCTACTGCTGCTGATATATTCCACCGAAACTTTACTGTACGAATATAAATTATAGATATAAAATAAAGTAGAGCCATTTCTAAGCCAATAAATATATCTTAATTTATTTCTTAATAAAAATAAATAGGTTATGCGTTAATTTTCGCACAAATAAAATAAAAATTCTTTATTTAATTTGAGTGTTGTAAGTGAAAACATAAATACGTGCTTAAGGCTTTAGATTTACGTGAATAAAAATGAATTTTGTGGTTTTTATTTTATTTGAAACAGAAATAAAATCATGAAATTCATTTTCTTTGTTTTCATTTCCATTTCGGATTTAATCTGAGCTGCGTGTTGAGACAAATAAAAAAATTGCTGTTGCTTTTGGGCGAAATGCAATGAATTTTGTATTTCTTTTCCAGAAGATTATAACTTTTATTTCTTTACTGTATAACTTTTATTGAAATAAAAATACGGTAAAAGATAAAAAAAACCTCATTTGTGTTAAAAAGAAGCCTTTCTAATTGTACAAATATTGATGTGATGCCGTTTAATACAGATATTTAATATTGTGTTACCTGGCATTTTGTTTTGAAAGACATTCTAATAAGACATTCTAATTTCCCAAATATTGATATGGTTTTCCATTTAATCTAGATATCTGGCATTCTGCTATGCAGACAAAATATCTGAAGACACATTTTATTTATCAACATACCAATAAATTTGGTAGTTAATTCTCTCCTTCCTTACCGCATGCTTCATATTGCCCCACGAAGATATGCGGTAAGGAAAAAGGAAATTCATTATATTCTCACCTATTTAAAGTGCGACTGGGAAGCTGGGAAATCATTCGTTAAATTTAGGTGGCCACGAATTATCGCCAACTCCAAATTAATTAATTAATGAATATGAATTAATGTATGGTTAATGAATATGATTACTCTCGAATTAGTACATCAAATGTCTAAGAATATACCGTATTAATCCAAATATAAGGCGGTTAGTTTCAACTTAAAACGACCTTTTAATGATTTATCTTAGAAGGGCAATATTAGAAGAACACATTAAGGCAATTTACGGCGCAATAAAATTAACATTAATTTTAACATTAGCATAAATTTTTAACATTAGAGAAAAAGAGGGTGAGTTTTGTCTGGAAAATTATTTAGATATTTTGATACCTTTCTTATGTAACACTTTCAGCATATTAAGTTGATATAGATGAAGTCGTTTTATATTATTATGCAAAAACATTTTTCTTTGTAATGTACTTTAAAAAATTAGACTTGCTTTAAAAGGAGGCTATCTTATGTTCAACAAAATCTGGTAACTATTTAACATTCTAAACGCTCACAGAAAATTTAACATGCTACAATAGGTATTGTCAAAATATCACTGTTTTTATGAACAATATCGATTACCTATCAATAAATTATCTTAAGTTCGGATATTTTATTATCGTTTAAATAATCAATATTAGCCAAGTTCTAATAGTTTTTTTGCTTCCTGTTTCAGAAATGAATCTGCTGAGAAAACAAGGTATTAAATATAATCATGTTCATTCAGTATTTGCATTTTGTTGGTTACAGCGAGAAGCAGAATATTTAAATTCAATATAAACTCTAGTTTAACCATCACAGCTCAATAAGAAGAATTAGGATGAATCTGTCAACCGGAAGAAAGAAGACATACCTATATTCTTTAACAGGGTGTCTGATGCTCATGTGATGTTGCGTATTTAATGTCCTCGTGAAGATACTTCAAAACATAAACAAGCGATTGTTTATCGTGTAAAACTAAAATACTATAATACTTTATACAAAGTAACAGAAAGTTTTTGCGGGACATTAAATTTAACATGAACTGATTTCCAAGAAAATCGTTTAGGAATAAAACCGTATTACTTTTATTTCTTGCAAGTTTTAAGAATTATAAACCGTCGCATAAGGAAAATTGCTCGTAAACTACTTTTAACTAGCTATCAAACAGGATATTTCTGGAATCTTACCGAATCGCCAGATATTAAGCTCGGAAAACATCTGTTATTTAATGAATATGAGAAATTTCTGACAGACGCTCATATATACTAAGATTACTTGGATATAGCAAAGCATGAGGGATATCTGCCTAAGTGGAGGGATGTCTTCTTCAAGTATGGAAAATTGGCTGATATTCAGGTTGCACTTTGGAGAAACCATGAAAACAAGCCAGTGCTCTCGCTCGGGGCCCACCAGCGGCTGAGCGGTAAAGTCGCTGAACACTAGTAGTTCGGTCCGAGGCTCGAATTCCGCGAACGGGCTGACTGCATGGGCGTTTTCGTGGTTTTCCCCACGTGTAACGTGTATACGAGTCAGTTTCCCTTAGAAAGTCCTCCACAAAGGCATTTCTTTCCCTAGGCAGATAGTCCTAGTGCGCTTTGCCGTAATTAAATTAAACAAACCTCTTGCTTGGGATCGAACACAGGTTTTTTTACTCTCACTCTTCAGGGGTTTTAACCGTATGGCCATTGGTGAGGAGCTGCTAGGTCTTGCCTGATGGTCTGTTGTGACACAGTTGAATGCCATGAAACCTCAAAATATGTGGAAATTTAAGTATACATTTTAAAATTTAGTTTTCTTTTTCAACTCGATATTTATATAAATCAGCCTTTTCTATGAAAATATTAAAATTTTCATAAATTTCCTTATTATGCCTTAGATCATGCCTGTTAATATTTAATTTTAAAAATTGGAAATATTAAACAGATAGAAAAAATGCATTTTTAAGGTCATTTGCGTGTTGTTCTATTATAAAAACAAATGCCATGACAAACTTTGTGAACTTGTTAACCGGAATCTTCAAATTTAAAAGTGAGACTGGTAAAATGATAACAATATAACAATAATAATTAAAAATGCAAAATACATTACGTATTGTAAATGCATTATGTATCAAGATTATGCTTGTTTAATTAAAGGATTCATCATCGAAAATGTTGAAAATAACAGACTAACATGTCGTTAAATTATGAAGATAGTTAACGAGAAAATTAGAGAAATTACATTAATAAGAAATATTTTTTCCACAGTTATAACTGTCTTAGAAACAAGTCACATTAACCACAATGGGATTATAGATTAGGATAAGAAGTAAGTAAACAAACAATCTTGCACCTCATGGATGATAATATGTTATCATTACTTTTGGCACTCCCAGGAAGTTTTTTGTAGAAAATTCTATTGCTTGTAAGACATTCGCAATAAAAATAATGAATTCTAATTTCAATAAAATATCCTACGCCATACACCAAAGTGCTTTTAATAGTATAATGTAAAGGTTAGGTAAACAAAATGTGTGTAAAATTGTTTTAATTGCAAGAAAAACATCATAAATTCAGTGTTAAAAATAATGACTTCCTCATGCTCGAGTGAGTGCGAAATACTTATTTTAAATTATTTACTCTTGAACAAGATATAATATTTAAGACGTATTCAGAATTTTTGGTGTATGACAATAAATTTAAGGAGCGAGGAAAACTGCATATTATTCATCAATAATTTTTTGCTAAAAGAGCAAAAAGGAAATTTAAGCCTATAAAAACTGACCGAATCAATGATTCACGAACTGAGGTTTCTCTTCTAGAACCATGTCAACGGTAAGGCGACATACATACAGACAGAGCTTATAATCTTTACGCGTCTGCTAGGGAAAATAATCGAGTATCTGACTGACTACCAATCATGGTCGAGGGTCGGATGATTGTGCAGGCATGCCTTTATTAAAATATCTATGAAAATTTCATTATTTGCGGTGTTTTATCTATACAGAACAAGATAAATTTACTAGTATACTAAGTTGTTGTTAAATGAAAGAGTACGTTAGTATCAATATAAAAGAATATTAGCATATATTGCAGGAAAAATATGTTGACGAGCCATTAAAAATTGGCAAAATTATTTTGAGCTGAAAAATTAAAGAATCACATTAATTATGAGAGATAAAATTACAGTTTTCCGTTTTTAGAAATAAGAAATTTAAGTGCTTTATAAGTCCTTAGGGAAAATATATGGTTGCATATTAAACATTTATGAATGCCAAATAAAAACAGAATGTTGGCAGTAGTTAATATTCACGTTGACATAAAACTCCTACAGGTTTCATGGAATATTTATTCAGCCAGTTCCTTTTAAAGCAATTAAAAATAGCGTCAGAAGCTAAAATTCTTCAGAAGTGATGCATGTAGTGGCAGAAGTGATGTGGAAATAAGTGTCGGTGAGTGATATCTAAAATAGAGCGTCGAAATTAGACAGAGCTTTG